CGGGCGGGAGCGCCGCCGCGCTTCCCAAGCGGCGCACTATCCAGTGCGCCACCGGGCCAGCTGGGGATATCTTTTATTTACAGATATCTTTCTGTTATTGATTTGTTTTACAAACATTTTATGATTTCTATCCTTTTAAATTTGTTTTATGACCCAAAAGGTGGTCTATTTTGGTGACTATTCCATATGCACTTGAGAAGAACGTGCATTCTGCTGTTGCTCAGCGTTCATTCTATAAATGTTAGGTAGACCAAGCTGGTGGATGATGTGTTGAGATCATGTATGCCTTTGCTGATTATCTGCCTATTTGTTATATTAGTGACTCAGAAACCAGTGTTGAACTCTCTGACCTTAATTGCGGATTTACCTAATTCTCCGTTCCGTTGTATCCATTTTTGACTCATTTATTTCTTAATAAACTTTTTTTTAGAAGTTTTAGATTTATAGAAAGGTTGAAACAATAATACAGAGGGTTCTTATGTACCCCACACCCAGTTTTCCCTCTTGTTAACATATTACATTAGTATAATACATTTGTCATAACTAATCAACCAATATAATGCATTATTATTAAATAAAATCCATGCTTTTTCTGAATTTTTTTTAGTTTTACCTAAGTTCCTTTTTCTGTCCCAATATCTCATCCAGATAAAATATTACATTTAGTTGTCATGTCTTCTTACACTCCTCTAGACTGTGACAGTTTCTTAGACATACCTTGTTTTTTATGACCTTGATAGTTTCAGAAGTACTGGTCAAGTATATTATAGAATTTCCATCAATTTGGGTTTGTCTGATGTTTCTCTTATGATTAGACTGAGGTTATGGATTCTTAACAAGGAAGACCCTGGAGGCACAGTATCATTATCATCACATTATATCAAAAGTACATGCTATCAACATGACTTTTCACTGATCTTGAAAACCTTGCTCATATGGCTGAAGTGGCATTTGTCTTGACTATAAAGTTACCACCCCTGTTTCTATTCTGTGTTCTTTGAAAGAAAGTCACTATGCATAGTCACACTCAAGCAGTGGAGATATGTTCCATGTCCTAGAAGCATTGACTTTAAGCATACCCTCTATCTAGATCTTTGTTTTTAATACTGTTATCCCATAAAGGAAATCAGGGACCCTTATAGAAACCGCAGACTATACGGATGAGTCAAGGAATAAACACGATGAGCCTGGAGCTTCTTGTGGTGCCAGAAAGTGAGAAAGTGCTCAAAAAAAAAATGATGAGGATATATTAAAGGGGCAGAGAAATTAACTGAAAGAGTTATCAATGGCCAAAGCTGTAATAATTTGAGCAAAAAGAATAACATAGTATTTCATTATAATCCAAGTTGTAAAGTAAATATTCATGAGTTTATACTGATATAAATTAATGATTGATTGAATGAGTGAACAAATGTATGAAAATACTGCCACCTCAAGGTAGTAGAGCTTCATTTATTCTGAAGCTCTGTTGCTATGTGCATGCACATTTAGTATTGTTATTTCTTCTTGGAGAATCGACTTCCTTATCATTTATGAATTGTCGCTCTTTATCTCTGATAAGATTCCTTCTCCTGTCATCTACACTGTCTGAAATTGGTATAACTAGTTCAGCTTCCTTTCAGTTTTTGTGTGGTATGTCTTTCTCCATCTTTTTACTTTTAACTTATCTATGTTTTTATATGTAAAGTAGATTTCTTAGACAGCATAGAATTAATTCCTGCTTTTTTATTCAATATTACAATCTTAGTCTTTTAACAGGAATATTAGATCATTCACATTCAAAAGTCCTTCTTGATGTGCTTGGATTAAATCTGCCATCCTGCTAGCTGCTTTTATTTATTTCATTTGTTTTTTCTTTCTCCCTCTCTTTGTGCCTTCCCTTGATTTCATTGCATGTTTTAAAATTGCCTTTTATTTTCTCAATGAAATTGTCATTCATACCTCTTTTTAAATAATTTTTAGTGGTTATCCTAGGTTTAGAGTATAGATTTTCAATTAATCCAAATCTAAGCCTTCAAATAATATTTTACTACTCAATGGCTAATGTAAAGACCTTATAGCAGTAAATTCCCAATTCTTCTCTCTTCCTTTGTGCTAATGTTGTTATATATTTTACTTTTACATATACTATAATCACAGCATATTGTTACTATTTTTGCCTTAGACAGTTCTGTTTTAGGTCAATAAAAATAGGAAAGAAAATAAATTTTACTTTAACTTCATTTCATTTCCAATTTTTTAAAATATTTTTGTACTGATCTAAGTTTCTGATTCATAGCATACTCATTCTGCCTGATGAACTTCCCATTAATATTTCTTATAGAGTAGGTATACTAACAATTAATTCCCTCAGTTTTTGTTTTGAGAAAGTCTTTATCCTTTATTTTTGAATGATATTTTCACTGGGTATATACTTCTGGGTCAACAGTTTTTATTTTTTTTCTTGCAGCAATCTGATCTTTTCATCATGTTTTCACTTGCATGGTTTCTAACCAGAAGTCTGCTGTAGTTCTTATCCTTGATCTTCTACAGATAATGTGTCTTTTTTGTCTGGCTGCCTTCAAGGTTTTCTCTTTGTCTTGGTTTTTAGCAGTTTGGAATATGATATGCCGAGGTGTATGTGTTTGTTGTTGCTGTTGTTGTTGTTGTTTACTTTTGTATTTATTCTGTTTGGTATTCTCTGAGTTTCTTGGATCTGAGATTTGGTGTTTGTCTTTAATTTTGAAAGTTTTACAGCTGTTATTTCTTCAAGAACCTATTCTGCTCTTTTCTTTCTCTTTTCCTTCTAGCATTCCTATTACACGTTAGACCCTTTGATATTGTCCCACAGGTCTTGGGTGTTCCTTTTCGGTTTTATTTTTTCTTCTCATTCTTTTTTCTCTTTGTGTGTCAGTTTCTGGAATTTATACTGACTTATCTTCAATTTTACTAATTCCTTAACTGTGTCAAGCCCATTAAAGGCATTCTTCATCTCTTACTATCTTTTTTTTCATTTCTAGCATTTTTGTTTGATTTTAAATTATAGTTTCCATCTTTCTGTTCATATTTTCCAACTGATCTTGCATGCTGTCTACCTTTTCCACTAGAGCCTTTAACACATTAATCATAGTTATTTTAAATTCTCTATTTCTACCATGTGTGTCATTTCTGAGTCTGGTTCTCATTACCATTTTGTCTCTTAGATGTGTGTTTTTCTTACCTTTTTATATACCTCTTAATTTTTTGCTGAAAGCCAGACATCTTATGCAGCACAGTAAACACTGAGGTAACTAACTTTATCCATGGAGATAAGCATGCCTTTCCCTCAACTGGCTTTTTCTGTGGCATGTTGTATTAAATCTAGTTAGAAAATGAGCTAGGTTTAAGGTTTGATGTTACTGTGGTTACCCTCAGTGCACCACAGACTACAAACTTTCTAGTGATACCTTGTGTTTAGGGTTTGGGCTGGTTTGCCAATGGTTAATTTTTTCGATTTCTGTTTTCCCTAACCTTGGGTCCTCCCTTTGTTTTGTGCCCAGTGAGAATCTACCTCTTTAAGCTTTTTACTTTGTATTCCACTGTTATATTTACTTAATACTTATTAGACTGATGGGAGAGGTGAGGAGTATTCCCTTAATGTTCTGATTAGCCTCTATCTTAGCAAGACACTGTGTCCCTTGTTCTCAGAATTCTGATCTTCACAGATGTTCCTGCCCCTCTTCCAGCTGTAGTGCTGGGCCTAGCATGTATTTCTGACCCTACCCCAGGAGTAGACCTTTATTTTCCATGCTCTGTTTCTCCAATTATATGTAGATATTTGTAATGACTTATCACCAGCACCTTAAGTGTTTGTTGCTCTTTACCCTACACATCAAGAGTTTTGTTCCATAGGGGAGGCGGGGGAAATGGGTTGGTTACAGTTATAATAGTGGCTATTATTTTCCTTCCCCAGCCAGCACCATAAGGAAAACTTTCTTAGGATTCTTTCCTATCAATTCCTTCCTTGTCAAGACCCCTATATTGTAGACCCGTGTTCTTTATATTCTCATACTAAGCCACACTCAGTTTTTAGAAATTTATTTTAAAAATTTAGCTGACTCTTCCTACCAGCTTATATGTCTCACAGGATCTGCCTCAGTGAAGCAAACTCTCCTCATGGAGAAATGTGTAGCTACCAGTTTCTCCCCAGATTTTAAGTTGGTTGGCTGCCCTTCAAGCTCAGTATTCTGATGGATTCAATAAAAGTTATTAATTTGCAGTTTGTCCAGGTTTTTCTTCATGGTAAGAGTGTTAGTGGTGCTGTTTCCAGCTCTCTACATTCACAGATTAAAACCAGAATCTTTGGGTTACGTTTTTAAGACAAGAAGAATGGTGCCTCTGAGAGTGTTTGTTTTCCAGCTTCCAGTCATCATTGACTTGAGGAACCCAACTCTGAAGCCTCGACATTGGGCAGCTATTGAACAAACAGTTGATGCCACACTGGTGGACACTGAAATTCCATTAACCTTGGAGAGGCTCTCTGAGTTGCATGTTTTTGAGTTTGGCCAAGAAATCCAGGACATATCTGGACAGGCTTCTGGAGAAGCTGCCTTAGAAACAATTCTTAAAAAGGTAAATCTGAAATATTTATATATGTATGTATGTATACACACACGCATATTTTTTTTCCTGGAAATTGGGGCATATAAATGTATGAAGATCACCAACTTTTGGTTACCTGGATGAATTTATCAAAACTGCAGCTTTGGGGCCGGCCCGGTGGCGCACTGCTATAGTGCGCCGCTTGGGAAGCGTGGCGGCGCTCTATCAAAACTGCAGCTTTGGGGCCGGCCCGGTGGCGCACTGCTACAGTGTGCCGCTTGGGAAGCGCGGCTGCGCTCCCGCCGAGGGTTTGGATCCCACATACAGACCGGTT